GACAAACATGAGTGGGAAATCGAGGATCAATATACCCAGGAGGTTGTTCCATATGAACACGTTCAATAAGAGTTCCATTGAGAAAAGCATTCTTGACATCAAGTTGTCGAAGAGGCCATTTATTTGTGACTGCAATAGAAAGCACAACACGGACAGTGGTAGCTTTGACAACCGGACTGAAAGTGTCAGTGTAGTCAAGACCAGGAACCTGAGTATAACCTTTGGCAACAAGACGAGCCTTGAAACGCTCGACAGATCCATCAGGCAAATATTTAATACGAAACACCCATTTAGAGCCCACGATGTTGGTGTTAGCAGGGCGAGGAACCAAAGTCCAAGTATCATTTTGTTGTAATGCTTGAATTTCTTCATCCATGGCAGCCACCCAAGCAGGATTCTTAGCCGCAGATTTGAATCCTTTTGGCTCAGTGGATGCAAGAAGAGCAGAAAGAAGTCCAGATGAGCCCAAAATACCAAGATTTGCTGGATGACGAGTCTTGAATATACCAGCTTTGGCTCGTGTGATCATAGGATGAGTGCCCAAAGAAGAGAAATCAACAGGAGGTTCAATAGAGGTCGAATTAGAAGTCGAAGGTGGCAAAGTGGAACCTGCAAGAGAAGTATCAACCTGCACAGACTCATCTACAAGGTCAGAACAAATATCACACGGGGATGAACTGGATCGAGGAGTTTGCGGTGATGAAGTGGTAGGGGGGGATGAATCAATATGATGAAAATGTGGTTCTAAGAAATTTGAAATAGGAATAGAGGAAAGAGGTTGGGTCTGGGAGCTAGGGATAGCAGGAAAGTGGGTTTCATCAAATTGAGCATGACAGGTGATATATAGCTTAGTGGTGGCCGGATCAAGACAGCGAAACCCTTTATGAGCAGGACTATAACCCAAAAAAATACAAGGAATGCTGCGGGGAGAAAGCTTGTTAGGCATATAATCACGCAAATAAGGATAAACACGACAACCAAAGGGATGAAAATTGTCATAATGTGGAGTGTAGCCATAAAGGAGTTCAAAGGGTGACTTACCTCCAAGAAGTGGAGTAGGCAACCGGTTGATAATATAAGCTGCAGTGCTGAAGGCGTCAACCCAAAAACGAGAAGAAAGATGAGAGTGAAAGAGAAGGGCCAAGCCAGTCTCAGTCACATGACGATGTTTTCTCTCAGCACGACCATTTTGAGCAGGTGTATATGGACAAGAGAGTTGATGGTGGATGCCAGAATTACGTAAATGAGTTTTGAAACAAGTATTAGTAAATTCGGTACCACCATCACTTTGAAATACCTTGATACGAGAAGAATATTGATTTTCCACAAATTTTTGAAATTGAAGAAAAATATCAAAAAAATCAGATTTAAATTTTAAAGGGTAAAACCAAGTGAATCGAGAATAATCATCAATAAAAATAACATAATAAAGGAAACCCGAATTTGATTTGACGGGAGAAGGACCCCAAAGATCACAATGAATAAGATCTAACACATGAGACGACCTACGTTCATTGCGGGAATAAGGCAATCGATGACTTTTTGCAAGCTGACAGGTATTACATAATGATGGAGAAGGCAATAAAGACGTAAGAGAAAGATGACCTTTTCTATTTAAAAAAGAAATAACAGAATGATTCACATGACCTAGACGAGCATGCCATAAATCATATGAAGCACGTAAAGATTTGTTTCTAAGGGCTGAAATAAAAGCAGAGTTGCCGCGCTCCAGCACATATAGCCCTCCATCTCTTTTACCGGTTGCCACCACCCTTCCTGTTTGACGATTCTGGATAGTAATAAGATTATTAGTAAATGTAACGGAGAGAGGAAAATCAGACGTTAATTTACTTATGGAAAGAAGATTTTTAGTGAGGTGAGGGACAACCAAGACATCTAACAAGTGAATATTTGGAACAGGTGAAAGAGTACCGGTGTGGGTAATGGGTAGGGAAGCACCGTTTCCTACAATCACAGAGTCCTTACCCGTGTAATTTTTAGACTGATCCAAAATAGATGGGTCGGCAGTCATATGGGCCGAAGCTCCAGTGTCCAGAAACCAATCAGCAGTATCGGGTCCAGCAATAGAACATGACGTGTTAAAGGCTTCAGCAAGGTGAGCATGAGAAGAATCAGGTCGAACATACCGTTGGTTGCAGCGGTCAGCATAATGGCCCTCTTTGCGGCATATTTGGCAGTGAGGTGGTCGACGACCTTGACTTGAGTGGGTTCGTCCTCGATTAGAAGAGTTATTTTTGTGAGAATAAGAACGACCTCGCTGGTTGGTAAAGGAAGCAGGGTGGCTTCCATGGGTGCGACCACGATTAGTGACTGTGAATGCTGTAGGAGTGGAGTTAGAGGACTCAAGGGAGAGCTGAAACAACTCAAAACTTTCAGCTTTAGAGACTAAATCTGCAAAACAGGGGATAGAGGTAAGAGCCATCTGAGCAGTAGAAAAAGCTGAAAATTCGGTGCCGAGTCCACGAAGGAACCAGTGCACTTTATCAATGTCCTCGACCGGTCTGCCAATGGCATGAAGTTGGTCACAAATTTTTTTGAAGGCACGGGCATACTCAGCAACAGGTTTGGTGCCACGTTTCATCAACTGCAAGTCATCCTTGAGTCTCAGTTCACGAGCTTTCGACTGATGGCTGAACGTAGTTTCCAACGCAAGCCAAACATCACGTGCAGTAGGGAGACCAACGACAACAGCCATGGCTTCCTCAGTGAGAGAGGAGAGCAGGAGACAGAGAAGTCGTTGATCGGCTGCTCTCCATGCCAAATATTTGGGGTTGAGTGTTGAAGAGGTTTCTGGTTCAAAGCGAGGTGGTGGAACCCTGGTTCCATCGACATAGCCCAGCATGTCTTGACTCTCAAGAAGAGGGAGAAGTTGGCTTTTCCAAAGAAGATAATTGGAGGAAGAAAGTTTGATGGTGATCATATGGATTAGAGTATTGAAAGGAAGAAGATGATAAGAAGATTCGGAAGCCATAGAGAAGAAAGGATCAGGGTTGTTAAACCGAAAGGGCTCTGATACCATGTGAATGTTTGCTGAATCACCACACCTCAATGGGGGTGAGAGTTCTCTTATTTATAATTATTTTCAGAATACAGAAATATGGTAAATTACAAATATTATGGAAATAGTAATAAAAGGAAAGAATAATAAATGAATGCAATATATTTGCCTTTAATAAGAGGGCAAATATGGTAACCCGTAATGTAAGGCAAATATCTAGATATTTGCCTTATAGTGACGGTCAACTATCCTTAACAGTTACAATGAAAAATGTTGGGACCTCGTGCATAATTGTTTGTTCATGTGCATTGGGATACTTCCCCTTTATGATGAGTATGGACAAGTATACTATGAAATGGAAATGATCATCATATTTGTGATGCTACAATAGTCGCTATTCTCTCCAGGTGTCTGGCAACAACACCAAAGAAATTAGCTCGAGCAGCAAACCCAAAGAGTGTGTGAGCCTGCCTGGTGGGTCCATGCTCGCATGTGTGAGTTGTGTAACTGGAGAGCTGCCTAAGAGAAGACAGTTTTAAATTATAGATTTTATTCATGTTGCATGTGTTTGCATCTCCAACTCTAATGGTGGGTCACTTATTAAATATTTTTTAAAATACTTGAGTCTTATGCTATTTTTATACTTTAGGTACAGACAATGCATCCCATGTACGATTAACGATAGCGTTGAAAACCATAAAACATGTGTTAAGGTAGTTGCATTTTATTTTAGTAGACCTTAGTTTAGAATAGAGTACCGTTTTCAATCTCTTTTTTGATCTATTTATATTTCACATTGATTATATTTTGTTGTTTTTCTTTAAACCTTTTAGTGCAAATGTATAAGTCCATTACATCATTTCGTGAATGATTTTAAACGTTACCGCATAGAAAGGTCACGTCATGCATATAATAATGACTCTATTTCAATAAAAAAAAAATTAGGATGTTACATTTATTAGACGCGTGAGGAAAAAAAAAATGCTAGAAAGCTTTGACTCCATATAACATACAACAATTGGTTGAAAGATATTTGATGATCATTCGATCTCTCTTATAGTATATTTTGAAACAGACAAACAATCCTACAATAATAATATAACATGAAAAATAAAAGTAGTTTATATAAATAACTAAAGTTGAGAGATAGTTCAGGCACGAGGCTACAAACTTACGACAAGCATGTCTAATACGTTGAGCATAAAGTTTTTGAATGGTAATAACAAAAATAAATTTATGCGGACTAAATTAATAAAAATATTTTTCAACTCCAATTATTACAAAAATACCCTTATACTTTCAAAATGTTTTAGAAATAACTTCTAAAAGGGTTTAATTTCAAAAATATCTTTAAATTATTTTTTAAAATTTCAAAGATACATTTAAATTTTTTTAGAAAATTTAAAAATACCTATACTGCCACTCCAACGTTTTAAAAATACTCATAAACTTTTTAAATCAACATTAAAACGTTTGTAAATAATCAACGAGACGTCGATAGACGTTTTTCATCCATATATTGATATTATTTATTATTTATTTTTAATTTTATAAAATCAGAGAATGTTAATGCTATTTTAAAATTTTTATAAGTATTTTTTTAAAATATAGTATTAACAAAATACTATATTTCATCCAAATTGAAGGAAGTATTTTTTTAATTTTTTTTTTCTAAAAATTTAAATTATTTTTAAGAAAACGTTCGAATTCCAAAAATATTTTTACTAATTTACTAATAAAAGTATTTACAATATTAAAAAAAAAAAAAATTCGGAGTTGTGCTGTCCTTTTGGTGGCAGCAAATCCAGTTTCGAATTTGCGTGTATTTACAGTACAATCGTGATCACGGAAAGCCCGTTCTCCACATCAGCCCACGTGGCATATCATGGGTCTTCCCGTAATTCCAACGCATCACATTCCACACGTGGAGACTATATACAACGTGGAATACAAAGAAGCTGCACAGCATCCAAAATACTCCTCACCGCACCTTACAAAAACCGAACTCATTACATTTACATTGAAACCAAATTAAGAAAAAGAGAAAAAATGCGTATAAAAGGCAAGAAAACTGGAAAAAGACAAAAAACGGAGAGAGCATCAATGTGGATCATACCCCACGGAAACTATCATACACAGGAGTAGACCCGTCGGCGATCCAACGGCGACAATTGGCGGATCAAGATCCAGAGGACGCCATTAATGAATAGCCGATTCTTGATCGATGTTATTTTACGTAATCGTAATCCCTTCTCTTTCGCTTTCATTTTCTGTTTCTTTCTCTCTCTCTCTCTCTCTCACTGGAGCTTCAGTTGTTTCTCTTTCTGTTTCTATATATTTCTCTGTTTCAAACTTCTGTTCTCTTTCATTCATTCTCTGGGCTGTGTAGTGTTTTGAAGCAGATCGGGGTGCGGGGTTACAGGCCGTCGGATGTGCGGGCTTTGACTCGGCCGTGATCGAGTGAGCGACTGGGGGGAATTTACGGATGGGGCAGTGTTATGGCAAGACTATTCCGACTACTGACAATCACGTCGCTCCAACCACCATTACCACCACAGCGTCTCCGACTTCTGCTACTAGGTACGGTGGTGATCCGTCGCATTTCACCTCCGGGAGTGCAGGTGGCAATGGCGTAGTAAATGTGAACACTACTACGCCGGCAACACCGGCGAGGACTTCGTATCCCAGTCCATGGCCGAGCCCGTATCCTCACGGAGTTAGTGGTAGTCCTCTGCCTGTCGGTGTTTCGCCGTCGCCGGCTAGGGCTTCGACGCCGGGGAGGTTTTTCAAGAGGAAGTTTGCTCCGCCGTCGCCAGCCAAGCACATCAAGGCCTCGTTGGCGAAGCGGTTTGGGTATACGAAGCCCAAGGAGGGCCCAATTTCGGAGGAGAGGGGGACGGAGCCGGAGCAGTTTCTGGATAAAAGCTTTGGATATGGGAGGAATTTTGGGGCAAAGTACGAGCTGGGGAAGGAGGTTGGGAAAGGTCATTTTGGTCACACTTGCTCTGCTAAGGGGAAGAAAGGTGAGCTCAAAGATAAACCAGTGGCCGTCAAGATCATCTCTAAAGCCAAGGTATTTAACAGTGATGTTACATGTTTTCTTTAAATTCCTTATTTCATTCACTTTGATTTGCTTTCTTACCTTGAGTTTCCTGCTGTTTTCTGCATTATAGGATTGATTTTGAAGTAATTTTAAGCAACTTCTGTATCACTTGTTTCTGTTTCGGAATTGGGTATGGATTCCGTCAATTATATACCTATATGGTGTTTAGTTTTTTTGTGTTGGGTCCAAATGTACTTTCAATTCTGTAATCAGAAAGTTTTTCTCTCTCTGATTTCTTTATGCTTTGTGGTTGGTGGTGTTGGAGAGGGTGGAGGATTGCCATTGTGACCTATCTAGGATTTAATATCGTACAAGTTACTTGACAACCAACCAAATATAGTAAATACAGTAGAGTCGAACAGTTGTATTCTAAGAATTGTCGAGGTGCGCATAAGGCTGTTCAGAATAGTCAAGGTGCGTACAGGGCTGTTTAGAGAGACATGGATAAAAAAGAAATTGGAGTTTGGATTTGTCTCATATGTCACATGCAAGTTTTTGCTAAGATTTGCTTTTCTGGACCAAACATGATCTCCTCTACTCCTTGATGGGTAGGCTATGTCCTGGATCTTTTAGTTGGTGTATAATCCACTGATTCTGTGCCCATATTTCAAAGAAATCAAGTTTCACCTGGGCATTGACAAATTTAGTTGCCTATTCTCTAGTTGACTTTATTTTTACCTATTAGTCTCCAAAGATACAAATGTGAATCAAATTATTAGTGTACGATTTTGAGAATTTTGGGAGTTTGCACATTTCACGTAGGTTGATGGGTTTCTTGTGCCAATTGTGACAGTTAATACAATATGAGGCTTATTACGTCGAATAAAAGGAATTGTTAGTTTCCTAAATGTTTGGAAGGGACCTTATTCATTGGTGGCCCTACCAGGGTCGAATAAAAGACTGGCTTTTCTAGATGGGTTTTTTCTTTACCAGGGTCCCAAGTTGTTCTTTGGTGGCCCTCGTCTTGGCCTTTTCTTATATAATCCTCGTTGCTTATCAAGAAAAGAAAAAGTTAAAAAAAGACCAGAAAATTCTGTCATCATAGTTTTGTGCTTGCGGGGAGTCTCCACAAAAGTATTCTCTTTGTGACATTATGGCAACTACTGCAACCCCTTAAGTGAAGGTGGATGGCATGCTAAGTGCGTTGGTGAGATTGCCTCCTTCTATGTTAATTCTTTTGACTGAGTTTCATTCTTGATGTTCTCTTATGATTAGCGATTGCATTGCATGGGCAGGTATTTAGTGTCCACTATAAGAGACTGAGTGTCTGACTTTGCCTCGAGTACACTGATCATAAGCTCTTCCATTGTCTTTGAGTCTCTTTAGTAGTCTCCTACATAGTCCATTAGTCCTGCATATACTTCCACTGAAAAATTGAAACATCCACAACCAATGTTTGTACAGTTTTCAACATGGTATCACCGCCATACGTCATTGGAATCTTATTTTATTCAGCTTATAGGTGGTAGAATTATATACTCAACTTAATTTGCAGCATAACTAGTTTGGATAAAGTCCTTTTGAATATTAAATTAACATGCGTTTTCATTTGCAAAATTTGCTTGTGCTGAAGTTTCCACATGCATAATTGGCTACTTAGTACAAATTCTCCCTGGAGGAGGGTGCATTTGACTACCATATGTTATTATCTCTATTGAATCCTCCTTTAATTGAAGAAGTCCATCCTTTAATATTTATCTTTTCTAGCTGGTTCATCCTTTAATCTTACTTCATCTATCAAATCTTTCTCTGCATGCAACTTTTTCTTCTGGTTCGTTGATTGCATTTCCTATAATTGTGTCTCAAAAGATACATTTGGCAGATGACAACGGCAATTTCAATTGAAGATGTTCGGAGAGAGGTGAAAATTTTGAAGTGTTTATCTGGGCATAATCACCTTATAACATTTCTTGATGCATGTGAGGATGCCAATAACGTCTACATAGTCATGGAGTATGTCTTTCTTCTTTTTCTTTTATTCTGGATCTGAAAAATGACACTATGACTATTCACCATATACACTACGTGATTAATGTCACAATTTTTATTTTAAGTTCTTGGATCTATCTGGCTATACAACATTGCATGCTTTCTCCTACCACAGGTCTTGATGAATTCAACTTGAAATTTGTGAATTTAGATTATCTTATTTCTTAAACGTGCAATAAAGGAGGAATCATGTAGCGTTTTCTTTGTTATTAGTTACAGTTTAGTCTGAATTGAATGGGTTTGGATAGTCCTATGTTGTAAATGAGCTACAGAATGATAAAACAAGGGTAAGATTGAGGATTTTAATATGGGAAAGGAATCTTGTCAGCTTTCTCACCTTCAGTTTGCTACCCTTTTTCTTCAAGTCAGGAAAGCTCCTTTCTTAATCTTAACGTTTTTTTTGTCCTTTGAAGCTATCGCAGGTCTTAAGATTAACGAAGGGTAAAAGAAAATTGGTGACCCTTGGAAGGCTGTCACCAACTGCCTTCTCCTTATCTAGTGCTCCCTCTTTGGGGGTAATCCGAAGTGTGTATCTTTACGGAATCCTGTGGAAAAGGTGAAAAAGCATTAGGGTTCTTGGAGGTCTTAAGTGGCATTTCTAGTTATTTCATGTCTTCATTTTGGATACCCGTTTTGTTTGGTAAGGTTATTGAGAAGATGTTAAAGGTATTTTTTGTGGGGAGGGGTCGATCTTGTTTGTTGGGATTTGGTCTCAAAACCTTTGGCCTTGGACGGTTTAGTTATTGGGAATAATCTGAGAGATATTGAGATGTTATAGGCAAAATGGTTGTGGTGTTTTTTATTTTAGCCTAATGCTTAGGATTGTTGAGTAGATATTGTATTCATCCTTTTGAGGGGTACAGTGCATGGTTGTAAGGGCGTTGACTAAAAACCTTTGGCTAGTTTCTCAACTTGCTATTGATTTATGAAATGTCTTGTTGGAGAGGGATCTAAGATTTATATTTTGGAGGATCAGTGGGCTTGGTTCTCTCTTTGTGCTTTATTTCCTCGTCTCATCACCTATCTGACCAGAAGTTTCACTCGATGGTTTTTGTGTTGTTCTTTGACCTTCTTTGTATTATGTGGGTTTTCACGGGCTTTTGTCTGACAAAAAGACTAACGGAAGCGTTGGCCCTGCCTTTTGTTCTTTTTAACCTTCAGGCATGCCTGGGGAGAAGAGATGTTAAGAGTCTAGATTCCTACTTGTTCGAGGGGTTTCTCAAATTGTTCTTTCTTTCATATTTTGATACCCTGGTGCCTTTGCCTTATCTAAGGAAGAGTAAAATCCCAAGTAGGACAAATGCTTGTGGCAAGTTTTGCATGAAAGATTTAATACCTTGGATATGATTCAGAGACGGTGTACTGTAGTGTCGGGACCTCAATGGTGTGAATTCTTTGTGGGAGGCTTAACGATCATATTGATCATTTGCTGTGGAGGTGCCCGTTTGCTTATTCCCTTTGGAGAAAATGGTCGAGTACATTTGGCTTATGTTTGGATCATAGTACGGAGTGCAGTCCCATATCGAGGAGGTGCTCTTGAAATAATACCCCTTTTGGGATAAAGGAAGAGATTTGTTGCAGTATTGTTTCTGTCTTGGGTGGGGGATTTGGCTTGAGAAGAGTAGGCCAATTTTTAGGATGGTCGAGAAATCTTGAGAGGAGATATGAGAGGTTGTTAGTAGGTGTAACGTGTCATTATCAGTGTCTATTACCCTACCTTTTGTTACTATGAGCTTAGTTGGTTTGGAGTCTATTATTTTAGTTAGCGTTTGGATTCCTTTTTTGTGGGCTTGTTTTTTTATTTTTTATTTTTTGTATGTTCTTCTACATTCTTTCATTTCTCCTAACGAAAGCTTGGTTTCTTACCAAATAAAAAATAAAAACATAAAACATTTCAGGTTTTTTTGGGAGTTCAGTTTCTGCAGACATTTTAATTCAATTTGAAGTTATCCTGTTTATCGTTACTTTTAGGTTATGTGAAGGTGGGGAACTTCTGGACAGAATCTTGTCAAGGTATTTTATTTGTACAACCACATTATGTTATCATTGACTGATTTGATTTATATTAAAGTATTTCCCTCATTGTAGAGGAGGAAGATACACAGAAGAAGATGCCAAAAATATAGTCGTACAGATTTTAAGTGTAGTTGCATTTTGTCATCTTCAAGGCGTTGTGCACCGCGACTTAAAGCCTGAGGTCTTTTCCTTTTTTCTGTTGATTTGCATTTTGATTTTCTTATAAAAATTTTAATTTTCTACATGTATTTTTTTTTCAAACAATTTTTTTTTTCAATTAAATTCTAGAAAACTTCCGTCACTTTTTGGTTCTGTGCTGCGAAGATGAGTTGGTACTTTCCATGCAAGACCTAGGTTCTTAGGTTACAACTCTTGATATGACATCATTTCAAAGAAAGAAATCATATATGTGTGTGTTTCTGTGTTACTTTTACTTTCATGCAATTAGAGTCTTGATGATTACCTCCCCGAAAGAAAAGAAAAAGGTTGTTTCTTCTAGTCATATTGTACCTTCCCTTTGTTTCTTATGTTGTTTCCACTTTTCTCATTACTCTGCAGAATTTCCTATTTACTTCTAGACGTGAAGATGCTGACATGAAGCTCATTGACTTTGGCCTTTCGGACTTTGTTAAACCAGGTAACAAATAGATCATCTAATTGTTTTTTTTTTTTTCCTATAAGAGATAATTTCATTGATGATTGAAGTTTAAAAAAGGGATGGTAATATCCATGATGTTTACAAAAGACCTTCCCAATTTGCAATGAGGGAGATAACTATTAGACAGCTTACACCAAGATATAGCTTGGTAAACAATATTGTTGAAAAGTTTTATATAAGTCTGTCTTTTCTTTATTGTTGTTTTTAAAACGATAGAGAACAAGCATTTATTAGAGAAAAAAGAGTGAAAAAAGTACTAACGGGCATATAAAGAGACGAAACGGCAGTCTAACAAGAGAAGCTAACCTAAAAAACTATCTAAGAGATAAAAAGAAAAGTCTTTATTCATGGATGCCCAAACAGAAACATGAAAGCTCGACCAACTTGGCAACTCCCAAAATTCTTTTGTCCTCTCAGCGAAATGTCGCACGTACACTTGTGAGCCACAAAAATGCCCCTTCTCACCATAGGAGTGAAGAATCAACAACCTGTGCCCCACTAAATACTTTTCACAATAAGAGAGATTGGTGAGGAATTTCTTCTCCATCCTTCCTTTTGCTAGAAGGGAAGTTCGTTCCTGGCAAGCGACAGTGTGTGTCATTTTCTATGTTTTTCTGTGAGATCTTCTGACAAAACCTTTTTGAAACTATCCATTAAATCTCCTTTTACTTGATAGGAATTATTTAGGCTCTCTTTTTGTATACCTTTGTATTCTTTCATTTGTTCTCCATGAAAGTTTTTTTTTTATTTTTTTATATATTTTTAATTTTAAATTACAGAATCTTACACTGCAACACTTCTGCCATGCTTTATTTGTGAAATTTAGTTGTTTTCGAAAAGAAGAAACAAATGTTAAAGTCTTTCCTCCTCGAAACTGAAAATTACTTGGTAAATAATCAAATTTTTTATGTTGTTTCTTGATGAAATTCCTTATCAGATATTTAAACAATTTTTATAGTGTAAATTCAATAAATAGAAAACTGCACTAAGGAAATCCATAAATTATTGTGCTTGACTACTGCATCAATACTGAATGCATAGGAACAGTAAGAATTTTTATTACATCATTAGATCGATTTATGTATCGGATGGTTCACTTCGTTCCTTTTTGTTATCCACATGCAGATGGGAGACTCAACGATATTGTTGGAAGTGCTTATTATGTTGCTCCTGAAGTGCTTCATAGATCTTACTCGTTGGAAGCAGATATATGGAGCATTGGGGTTATTACCTATATTTTATTATGTGGAAGTCGGCCATTTTGGGCTAGAACGGAATCAGGAATTTTCCGTGCAGTGTTAAGAGCAGATCCTAGTTTTGATGATTTACCGTGGTCTGCGGTGTCTCCTGAGGCAAAAGACTTTGTTAAAAGGCTCCTCAACAAAGATTATAGAAAGAGAATGACTGCAGTCCAGGCGCTCTGTAAGTTTTTATTTTTTATGTCCTTGCTTCTTAGAGGCTGTTGGAGGATAGACCAATGGGTTGAAAATTCGAATAATATCTGTATGTTTAAAGATTTCTTTTGTTGCTTTGCTTTCCCTGTGATGGAGGACCACATTGAAAGAGAAATTATCATTTTACTTCCATTGTTGCTTCAATATATTGCACCAAAAGAGAGAAGGAACTCAAAAAAAAAAAAAAAAAAAAAAAAGA